TATTCATGTATAAATTCTCTTTCTCCTTGAAACTTAACAGTTCGTCATCAATCTTCAAGCTTATAACATCGTTATTCTGTCCGTGTAACATCAGATTTTTGTAATGGATAAATAAATTCAGTGTGTATTAAAATAAAGTTTTTTTTAAAACTACAAAACCGCTCACCGCGTAACAATATGCCATTTGGTATTATTTTTATAATGTACGTAAGATAGTATAAAAATATATAAAATTACTAATTACGTACCTGTTTATCCAGCAAGTTGTTTATAAAAAAGTTAATAAAAGTTAAGTTTTAGGTAAGTCACATTATTTCTCATAGAACAGAATTATGGTGTGAGAAATTATTCATAGAAATATATTTTATTGATAAATCTAATTGAAGTTTTACAATAATCCAATTTGATTTAGAGCAAATGGTTTTTTTAAACATCTTTTTTATTAGTTTCTTATTGCTTAGGTGGGTGGACGAGCTCACGGTCCACCTGATGTTAAGTTGTCACCGGAACCGATAGACATCTACGACGTAAATGCCGCCACCTACCTTGAGATATTAGTTCTAGGGTCTCAGTTTTAACTGTAGGTACAACGGCTGCCCCACCCTTCAAACTGAAACGCATTACTACTTCACGGCAGAAATAGGCAGGGCGGTGGTACTTACCCGTGCGGACTCACAAGACGTCCTACCACCAGTAATTATGCAAATTATAATTTTGCGGGTTGATTTTTATTACATTCCCACCGTGGAAGTCAATCGTGAACATTTGTTAAGTACGTATCTCTGGACTTTCCCCAGATGTTGGACACACACACACACACACACACGACCTGGAATTGTCATTTTCACAGTCAACACATGAATGATTAGTAGCATTATAAATCAGACGAAAGGATTTTTTTTTAAATGACATTGTACATGCATTATTATTTATTTAACTATGGCTTAAGGCAAATGTCCTTTATATTGGAAATAAATTATTTCTGATAATTGACTTATTCCCTACACTACTTAGTAAAATATCATATTAACATTTAACATAATTGTATAAAAGTAGATAATTCGCGACGGACTATACTTACTCTGTATACGATTGAAACAAATAATACTAATGCCCATTGTACCTAATGCTTATAATGCCATCTAGGTACATATCTACCAAAACAATCCTTTCTTTTTATCATTTTGAGCAGAGGGAAATCATGTTTTTATTAATTTCGCTTACCCGGCCAGAGGGCGGGATCGGTGTTCTAAAATCATTGAATTGATCGACTGTAAAGTCTTAAATAACTCTGTCGTTCTTAAATAAGCGAAGACTGCATTGAAAAATAATTGTTACCATGTAAATGAATACAAATTAAGCTTAACTGATATATGAATTTGTCATCTTTCGTTATCTGTGGCCGTCGATACAACAACTGTATTTGGCGCCAAAAAAATACCGCAGGCACCTAAATTTATTTATTCCTGGTTTTTATTGTTTGGTTGATGCGTCCACCAACCAGACAATTGAAATAAGACGACATCGTAAGTGAAATAAAGTTAAATAAATGGTGGTAATTTTCGGAGTTCAATGAACTTTTCGAAAGAACCCAATAAGCGACGTCCGATGATTATACCTACCTATCCATTTAGTTACAATTGTGCACTTTTCAAGATCCTAAACGGTTAATAAGCTACTTTTTAACACGTTTAAATCCGAATAAAAATTTGAATAACAAAAGAAAATAATTCGTTTTGCTTCTGCAATGGAATTCCCGCCAAAAAGTAAAAAAAAACAGCTGATTTATTGACATCGTTGTTCACTAAATAGTTTTCGTTGTTGTACGACACTAGAGCTATTCATTTCGTATTAAATATTAGCTAAATTTATTTGTGGAAAGCGCATTGGTTACAGTTCTGCTCACCCCGTTCGTTCAGACCGTGACGATGCGCCGTCATTATTCAAATTACGTATAATATTTACGCAAACGAATTGATCCGACGCGGCCAGTTGCAAAAAGGGGCGCCCGTCAAAACAGATATTTAAAAATAATTTATAATTAGTGACGAAGGGTTTTTTTTTACGAATAAGCTTAGATGTGTATTATTATTGTCACTATTTTCAGTTATTGCTCAGGTGACATGATGAAGTCATGTCGCCATTCACCTAGAGGATAGTTGTAATTATGACCGTATATTCATACTGCAATTCGCAACATTTGACCACTTCTAGTAGTAAGCAAGACTCAGAAACCATAGTGATGATGTAAATGATTATTACCTACAAGTAACTCAAATTGTGATTATTTATACTAGGGGAGCCAGTGCTTGAAACAAATAATATAATGATATTCGAAATAATTTTAGCCGTACCTACCATTTGAAACTTTAAAATCATAGTTAATTGACTTTTTAGTTTTCTAGTGTCTAAAATTATTATACACGTTTTGTTACAGACACTGTGTACTGTACGACTGAATAACTTACTTAAGCATATACTTGTAGGATATGAATTGTCATGTTTGAAATAGGGTTGTTCAGTCGTTACAGTTCTACGACAAACAACCAATAATGGCGCGAGGGTGTGGCTACATTTCAAATTTCGAACGTTTGTTTCTAGTTTTTTTTGTTTGTTTTTTTAATCGACCAAGTGTCCTTTTCACAAACAGCCGGAATTAATAACTCGCAGTGAAGATTTTTCTGCTCATTGTATTCTCAGCTGGTGTACCTGAATTAGTCGTGAATGGTAGACATCGCGCAGAGATACGAAGGGCGCGTAAGGTGATCAAAATCAGGCCACAATGTTGTTTGTTAGAAAAGAGCCATTAAAACATTTTTAAAACCAGATTGGGAAAAAACTTTTTTTATTTATGTAACAAGGCAGACGAGTGTGCGGCCCACCGGATGGTGAGTGGCTGCAGGGATACAGGGGACAAATTCCTCGAAGTGTTCAAATAAACTAAATTCAATTGGAACATTCAAAGAGTGCTCCACTTCAGACTCAAGTTTGGGTCGTCTCTCCTGCAACATGCTTCGAGAAATATTCTGATAGGCAATACATCATGCATCCCCCTTGCTGTCACCCGCATTGCAACGCATGCCATCATAGAGAGCATGTCGTTGATATACAGGATGAAAAGCATGGGGCAGAGCACCTTGTGGGACTTCATCCATCCACAAAGCTAGCGATGCATTTTCAGAGTCCCTCGGAGATCCCGTAAGCTGGTAACTTCGACAGAATTTTCTTCTTGCGGATAGGGTGGACGTGGATAAAAGAGGCGATAAAATAATGCGAGGGCAGGTGTCAACTCCGGGGCATGTTTTCATAGACGCTGCGGGAACCAATCTTGTTTGTCTGTGTAGTAATTTGGTCATATCGCCCACACATAGGTCCTCTTCAGAAGGTTAAATTTTACCTTTGCAGTATAACCGTCAGTCCATGAGGAACATGGATCCTCACGACGATCTGGGTGTCGAGACCATAACGTGACATCCTCGCGAGTACAGAATCTCTGCAGCTGTCAACAAATCTTCTTCTCCCGACTGAGCCTATTGACTAAGCGACAAGGTCCCTCAAGGATTGGAACCCCAACGCAGTGATGCTGGACGAAACACTAACCAACGCAACGGGTCCATTAATGAGCGCTAGCTGCGGCACAAAGCTGCAAGTGAGATAAAAGCTCTTCAATTTCAACATTAGCCTTTTTTTCTACTTATTCTAGTAACCTCGAGGGGTTATTCTAGATTCACCGAGCTAGTAGGTGAGCTCACGGGGCTCAAACCGGAGCGTTGGTAACATTGGCCCTAGCAAGAGCAGTACCTCGCAGAATCTACCACCGGATCGAACATTAACCAGAGACGACATAGTGAATGAAGGCGAATTTGTCTTAAGTGCGACAAGAGATCCCACACGCAAATCAAGCTCGCTTCTATACTTGAAATAAGAGGTCGAAGTGTTTTACCAGCTTCGGCAGAAACTGTTCAAGTTTCGATGGAGACCACAAGGGCAGCTGCTTTGAGGATCTACTACCGGATCAATACTGGGACCTGCACATTGAATGCGCAATAGAAACTTAACAGATTACATATCTAACGAGCACCATGCGAATTCTCTTCTCACTTAAAGACAGACTTGTCGTAATTTGTTTTTTTTATTTTTATTGCTTGAATGGTTGGACGAGCTCACAGCCCACCTGGTGTTAAGTGGTTACTGGAGCCCATAGACATCTACAACGTAAATGCCACCACCCTTCTTGAGATATAAGTTCTGAGGTCTCAGTATAGTTACAACGGCTGTCTCACCCTTAAAATTGAAACGCATTACTGCTTCACGGCAGAAATAGGCAGGATGGTGGTACCTACCCGCGTGGACTCACAAGAGGTTCTACCACCAGTAAAAAAGTCGTTCGAGTCGTTAAGTCGTTCGACCAAATCGTGTACAAATAATACCAAAAAATGGTATTAAACTGTAACAATACACTTCACGTTCGCTACAAGATTGTAAAACTAAGAAAAGGCAACTCAATATTAAACATATAAAAGAATGTTTTCCGACCAATGAATATAGAGACATTAGGGTCTAACCTACACGCTTCACTTGCTAATAGCCCGCAAACAAATAAATTTAACGACACAAGCTAAAATATATCATATAGTTCAGGGAATAGGTGCGGTAATAAGTGCGCGAAAAACCTGGTTATTAAGTATAGCGACCAGTACGTGCGGACCTTCAGCCTCTGTGGCAGTCGTACTGGTTAAACGTTAAGTTGACCCTCATCGCGGTTCATTGTACGTTGGGTGATAAAAGCAGCTAAAAAGCCACCCCGAACGTTCTGTTCCCGCCCCTTTGAAGACCACTCCCTTTTTATTCAGTCGATGATTGAACTCGAAGCGGGGAACACGCATGATAAACTGTTAAAAAAAACAACACGCGTAATATTAAAAATAGCATTAGGCTTATTCGTAACAAAAAAAAAACGTAGCGTAAAATGTTTTATAACGGACGCTAATAAATTTAGTATGTACCCGGTTGATAATTACAAAAATGGACTGAAATTTGTTAAGAATTTAGATCACAACATTATGTTGAAGACTATACAGAACTTGTGCTACAATAAGACTTCCAATTTCAACATGACGTCACCGTTCTTGGTCGACAACATACTGCATCAGCAGAAGAGCGACTTCCAGAGCCAGTATTTGAATCAGCAGCTGGAGAACTACGTGCTGCAGCGTCAGAGCTACTCCCGGGAGGATTCGCCGGACGCGGACGAGCCGAAATGCGACGCGGATGATGAGAACNCTATACAGAACTTGTGCTACAATAAGACTTCCAATTTCAACATGACGTCACCGTTCTTGGTCGACAACATACTGCATCAGCAGAAGAGCGACTTCCAGAGCCAGTATTTGAATCAGCAGCTGGAGAACTACGTGCTGCAGCGTCAGAGCTACTCCCGGGAGGATTCGCCGGACGCGGACGAGCCGAAATGCGACGCGGACGATGAGAACCGGGAGGATTGCGCAGAAGAAAACAAAATCGAACTGGACGAGGACTCGAAAAGTAACGACGAATGTTATACAAACGTTAAAAATGAGTTTTACAATAACGATTACTACAACCAGGAGCCCAGGGCCGAGAAGGAGGTGCTATCAGTCCCGAGTCTGGCCAGACGCTGCCACGTCTGCGGCTCAGACTGCCCGCCATTCGCGTGCAGGAAGTCTGGTATAAGACGCTTGGAGGAATTAGAGAAGCGGTTCAATTTGAACAGTTACAACGAGAATTCTGGCGACGAAGCTGACAAAGAGAAGAGTTACAACACCGAGGAGATGGTCCGCGGCTGCGAGGAGTACAGCAGTGAGCAGAAGAAGCCCTTATTGAAATTCAGTGTTAGTGCTATTCTGGGTGATCGCGGGGAAGGCATCGGAAAAAATAGCAGCATCGGCGGTGAGTGATTAAGCTTCAATTAAATTTATCTATCTATCTATCTATCTATATATATATAAATGAATTGATGTTCGTTTGTCTCGCTAAAACTCGAAAACGGCTGGACCGAGTTAGCTAATTTTGGTCGCGAATTATTCGTGGAAGTCCAAAGAAGGTTTAAAAGGTGAATAAATATGAAAATGCTCGAAACTAAATAAAAATAACAATTTTGTTTTTCCTTTGATGTGTCCCCTGTCGGACGGATTCCTTTTGTTTGTTTTAAGTTTATTTTATACAAAAGTTTAGATCTTTTATTTATCGATTGAGGCACTACGAAGTCTGCCGGGTCATCTAGTAGCAAATAAAATTTTAATAGCATTTATGATTAGAGCTTTCTCGTTAACGTTAAGTTTGTAAATTATCTCTATTGTTAGGAAATAAATTATAGTTGATATTTGAGGTTTTAATATCTTATTGCAATAATTACGTCACTTCTTCTCCATCGATAATATCGTTACAATCTGTTAAGTATTGGCACGTATTTAACTTCACTCATCGGTAATGGTTGTAGATGTTAAGAAAGCTAATTCGTGAGCGCGACAATTACACTGATTAGGGTAATTCAGCTAGAAGCACTTACTGGTACACTTTACACTTACACTTTACTGGTGGTAGGACCTCTTGAGAGTCCGCACGGGTGGGTACCACCACCCTGCCTATTTCTGCCGTGAAGCAGTAATGCGTTTCGGTTTGAAGGGTGGGGCAGCCGTTGTAACTATACTTGAGACCTTAGAACTTATATTTCAAGGTGGGTGGTGCGTTTACGTTCTAGATGTATATGGGCTCCAGTAACCACTTAACACCAGGTGGGCTGTGAGCTCGTCCACCCACCTAAGCAATAAATAAAAAAAAGCAACACTTTGGTGCAGAGATATAGCTAGATGCATTAATTAATTAAAACCACTCCCCCTGTAGTCGAAATTCGACTATTATTAATTTAAATTATAAAGTACACTACAAGTATTACGATTCTATTGTCAAAGATTTATTATACTTCTATAATCACAGATTTCGCCAAGACTACACTTTAGACAAATTATATTAGGTCCTTACATATGAAATTGGCGTTTTGTATGGGAGGAATATAAATTTTTTTTTTTTGTAAAATTAATTTTTTTTTATTTTTTTATTTATTTTTTTAGACACACCAACAGCAATACACACAAAACATTTAAGCTTAAAATTAACATGTATAAAATTAAGTACTGGTATGTAAGCCAGTTACAGGCATGTACAGCAATCTCTTATAACACACTATGACATGTTACAGCAATTTTACAAAAAGCGGAAAAATAGGCTAAATTTAAATGTTAACAGTACGACAAAAAAGTATATTTGAAAACAGCATGAAAACAAGAGCTAACTACACACACTACTAACGTCACAGATTACTAAAAAAAAATTTATTAATCAAAGTATGCACCGTTGTTATCTATGCACCATTGCCATCTCATAGGTAGTTCATTGATCCCTTTACTAAAAAAACCATGGCGGCGAGAATCAATACTCTCTGAAGGCGTTTTGGACTGCCGTTTCGGATTTGAATTTTTTCCTTACAAGATATTGTCCAAATTCCGGAAAAAATGGTAATCTGTTGGAGCAAGGACCAGGAAGCATAGTGGATGTCGCAGACATTCCAATTGTAGGTCATCTAACTTAGTGATTGTTTGTTGTGCAGTATGTGGTCTTGCGTTATCGTGAAGCAGCAGTGGCCTAGAGCGATTGACCAATCTAGGTTGTTTTGTAGCTAGTTCTTCCTTAATGGTTTGCAGTTGCTGACAATAGATATCTGCCGTAATCGTTTGGCCAGATTTTAGAAAGCTGTACTGAACGCCACCAGCGCTAGTCTACCAAACATTCACACTCTTTACTGGTGGTCAGACCTCTTGTGAGTCCGCACGGGTAGGTACCACCACCCTGCCTATTTCTGCCGTGAAGCAGTAATGCGTTTCGGTTTGAAGGTTCGGGCAGCCGTTGTAACTATACTGAGACCTTAAAACTTATATCTCAAGGTGGATGGCGCATTTATGTGGTAGATGTCCATGGGCTCCAGTAATCACTTAGTACCAGGTGGGCTGTGAGCACGTCCACCCATCTAAGCAATAAATAAAATAAAAAAAGTAAATTTTCGAGTCAATTTTCGTTTAGGGCAGGATTTGGCTGGGTCTCCAGGGTCCGGCCATTACAAAAAGCGCTTCGGATTATCGTGCAGTATCATTTTCATCACAAGTAATGATTCGATTTAAAATCCCTTCATTATTGTGTGGGTTGAGCAAACTAACACAGCAGTCGACGCGTGTTTTTTTTATTGCTTAGATGGGTGGACGAGCTCACAACCCTCTTGGTGTTAAGTGGTTACTGGAGCCCATAGACGTCTACAACGTAAATCCATTATCCACCTTGAGATATAAGTTCTAAGGTCTCAAGTATAGTCACAACGGCTGACCCACCCTTCAAACCGAAACGCATTATTGCTTCACGGCAGAAATAGACAGGGTGGTGGTATCTACCCGTGCAGACTCATAAGAGGTCCTACCACCAGTAAAAATATTAGGTATAATAAACATATATAAATTATAATAAACATATAAATTAAAATTTAGTTTCTCGAAAGAACGATATATTATTATACTTTATTCCTATAAAAAATAATCGTTTTATAGCGCTTTAGATTCTAAGACTGTTGTTCTAAATAGCACTGGAAGTTTCGTTGTATGTTCAGATACTGGTCGAGGAATTTTTCGTTTGTTTACAACAGACCATACAGCGACCTGACAATATCATGCTTAGTATATATCGGCTAGACCCTACGAGATTCGCTTACCGAACCAAAACTCTCTTGTGCGTCGGCAAATTCGCGTTTGCTAAATTAAACTTTGGTCAACATGGCCGTTCGCATTGCAAATACTATATCTATGTATATAAAAATGAATTGCTGTTCGTTAGTCTCGCTAAAACTCGAGAACGGCTTGACAGATTTGGCTAATTTTGGTCTTGAATTATTTGACTTCAACAAATAATTCAAGACAAATAATTGAAGTCCACTTCAACAAATAATTCAAGACCAAAATTAGCCAAATCGGTCAAGCCGTTCTCGAGTCGGTCAAACCTTCTCTGGAGAGAAGGTTTAAAAGGTAGATAAATATGAAAATGCTCGGAATTAAATAAAAATAACAATTTTGTCTTTTCCTTTGACGTGTCCCCCGTCGGACGGATTCCTTTTGTTTGTTTTAAGTTTATTTTATACAAAAGTTTAGGTCTTTTATTTATCGATTGAGGTACTATGAAGTCTTCCGGGTCGGCTAGTTACTGATAAAATTCTCTTCTCTCGATTCTCTGTCAGATGCGTTTTCTAGCGTAAACCCTGCAAGCGATCGTGTCGTTATTCGGTCTGCGAGTTTTTTTGCTTTTTGTGGGCAATGGTGGTCATGGATGTTAGTAATGGCAGGGGCACAGCCAAGCCGCTGCCTAACGTTGAACACTCTTCGCAAACCTTGTTTGAAGTAAGACACGTAGCGCTCAGAAAACACCGCGGAGCTCGTTCCAGAGCCGTGCCAAATAATACCTCTGGAAACGCACTGTGGATGAACGAAGTGGCTCTATTGGATGACCTCTACTCCGGTGGCGGGCGGTGCGATGATAGAAAAGAGATGATCATCTCAAACAATTCTTCAGAGCACTCCCCGTGGAATATACGGTAAAAATTATAGAGCGAACCGAAGTCCATTCGCAGACCCAGAGGTTCCAAGCGATCCGTGAGAATGGTATTATCGACGAACGGTGCTATCTATAGTGCAGTCGCGGAGCAGGAAGAATTTCGTACAATGACCTCTTTTTTTTATTGCTTGGATGGTTGGACGAGCTCACAGCCCACCTGGTTTTAAGTGGTTACTGGAGTCCATAGACATCTGCATCGTAATGCGCCACCCACGTTAAGATATAAGTTCTAAGTATAGTTACAACGGCTGCCCCACTCTTCAAACCGAAACGCATTATTGCTACACGGCAGAAATAGGCAGGGTGGTGGTACCTATTCGAGCGGACTCACAAGAGGACTTACCTACTAACAGTGGTCACAAACATTTCTGTATTAAGTACGGTTTACATAAAAAGCGGTTCTAGGAAGTATGAATGAAGTCTACTTCGTTGGTGAGCGTTGCCCTGGGACACGAGATGACAAAATTATTTCAAATAATTCCTCAGGACCATGAAACTGTTATGATACCCTCTGGCTCCTAGCTTTCCTTTCATCATCACCTTTCCCGAATAGCATCCGCAGTTATGATCTTTTATTAGAGAACAATCCCCTCCCTATCCAGTCAGTCCTATTCCTAATTCCACACGGCACGGTTGCCGTCATTAATCGTCGTGAAATCTTTTATATATTCATTTCGTCAATAAAATCTTTTTTAAAAAGATATTTTTTCAATTCCGTATAACAGAACGCGCTTCGATACGAGTGCACCAGCCGTCTAATCCTTTAGTCCAGAACATCACCCGTTCTTGATCTCTCTGATGCAGATAATTTTTTCTGGAACGTAATTTCCTCTCGATACTGATATTGACAAGCAGCGTTGACTGACGTTTCCGATCCGGTGGTAGATTCTGCGAAGCACTGCTCTGGCTAGGGCTAGTGTTAGCAATGTCCTCAGGTTAGAACCCCGTGAGCTCACCTACTCGCTCGGTAAATCTAGCATGACCCCTCGAGGTCAATAGAAAAGGAAAGAAAAAAATTGTCTATCATATCCTTACACATTAATAAATATGTATATTTTAGATAGGTACAAACGGCTCAATAGGTACCGTACAAGTTTTTTTTTTTTTTTTAAGATATTTTATGACCTGGTAACTAAGACCTTTAAGTCATGTCTTATTTTACTTTATATTCTTGATTTTATGAAAAATGATAATATGGAGTGAAATGAAATGAAGATGATTAATTTGAGACATTAATCAACTGG